CATAACCAACAAAACAAACGGCATCGATAGACCGTATTGTTCATTTTTTTGGTTTGGAATATTCGTTTAAGTTCAGTCAGTTGGTTAAAAGGGTAGCAGTTAGCACTGCGTCAATCTGTTATTCAACCCTCGAATAAACGTGCACGCGAGTGTTGAACATTGATTACATTTATTGATTGCTACTGGTAGACTATTGTTGAGCGCAAGACAACGGATTTCGGTTCGGACATGACGGTGATTTTTACTACAAATCCTAGGGCAAAGATTAGTTAATTATCCTGTCCACATCATGATGAACCCTAATAAATTTTGGATTCATTGCTTTAAAGAAAGTTTTTCAGGCTGCTCGCAGGTCGTTGACTTCGCTTATCATAGAACAAGGTTATAATATGGCCGAGTATCATCTGCGCCCAACCGCTAAATAGAATGAAACAGAACAGGATTGAATGCGAATAAGTGAATAAAATAGTTATGCTTGACCGGCCAACGCCAACTGCTAAGGTCGTGGAATAACTTGATAAATAATATGTACGGCTTAGAACAGAGAACCGTCGGTTTCGAGCAAATATGAATAGGACATGTTTGTTCCATGTTGATGCACGTAAGGGAAACTGAAAAAAACACTTCTGCAGAGGAAAACCTATGTTCAGAGTGGAGAGACGAAATTTACTGAAGAGGTACTTAACATATGCGGTCATCCACAATAGATTCAGTGGGTCGTGTGAGCACAAACCGTGAGGACTGAGACGACCTACTCGAGCATTGGTGGTGATTATACCTGCTAGACCATGAATCAACCCCCCTCGGATGGGGACCCGGAAATCATGGTAAACGGTGGTTAGAGAAACTGAGTGATACGGCCTGGTGCTGAATACTATGATGCTCATGGGTCTAATTATTATCCTTGCAATCCCGGTCAATATTAATGCTCCATCTTCACTTTGACTCTGCTCTCAGCATTTCAATTTTTATTCCGCTCTTTTATTTAAATGGGGAACCAAAAGACAGTAATCAAAAGGGGTGCATGAAAATGCATGGTAAATGGTTGTAAAAACTGGACTGAATATCTATTTAATCAAATACTGTCTATGGATGAATTCCACGAGCAAACATGCATAGCATATCCCCGGCATCTCTATGGATGTCCAGTACTTGTGCCAGTTACTGACTTCGATGTTATGGCGTATTAATATCGTGGATCTGATTATTACATTAGATGCGTGCAATAAAGCGAGGGCATTGGTATTAGCTGGTAATCGAGGTTAGACAGGAAATCAGGCGAACTGGTCAAGCTCTAACTAGCATGGTGTAAATCTCTTCAGTAAGGGTTGTTAGTCATCGTCATCAGTTGGAGGATATAGTGGCTGTCCTAATGTCCTTCTCCGAAATGAGTACATTAATGTCCGATGTGAAGTAATTCTTGTGGAGAAATAAGTGCGCACACTAGAGACCATGCTCGATTTGAGAAGTATCATGCATTCGGGTGTTACTGAGTCAGAGTCGTGAAAAGAGAAATAGACCGATAAGTATGCGTAGTCATCATCATTATCGTATAGCGGAATTCAATGAAGTGAACATAACTAATTGTTATCAAACTCGCCATACAAGATAACCGAAATGTATCAAGTGGACACGCAATGCGCCTGTTTTGAGGGAGGTGGGAAGAAAGCGCGTTTATATAGTCGATACAAAGTACACAACCAAATTGTGCATAAATACCTTTTTAAGTATTGTGGTCTGATGAGCGACAACAAGAACTCCATCACTGTCGGTTGTTGTCATCACCTCCGGTGTCTCCAATCAACCAGTTACGGAGTCTTTTGGAACCAAAACTAGAAACACCGAGACACCTACTCTACCCAACAGCAATGTGACTTTCTTCATGCCTTGTCTGTTGTCCTCCATCTCTTCTTCAGTCCGGATCGGCCACGGCAAATAGGGCGCGGTATGGTAGGCCACCGTTAGACATACACGAACCGCTTCCTGACCAGCGGAGTTGAATTCGACGTGATAGCGAGTTCTTTCTGGGTGCATTCTCAAACACCCTAAAGTTGACCAACATTAAGGTTGCAAACGCGTTTACTCCATCCCACCTGGGCTAGACTACGTGAGCCTCCGAAATCCCCAGTATGGTTGGGGATGGGTGTCTCATGTTGTGGCTGGTCGTAGAAATCGTCCCTTTGTGCGTTAGAGCTGTAGTTGGTTGACGCAAGTGCTGAGATGATGAGCAAACACCTATTGGTGTTGCTTAGCTTTCGGACGCTAACTAACCGGTGGAGCCGCATTGACTGTTGACGGGGATACAACCGTTAAGAGCGGGCTTCGGCACCATTACTGAATACAAAACCTCTGTTCTGATCTACTGAGCGGTCTTCGTCACCTGATGTGTGAAGAACGTACCTCGACGACAAATCCGGCGCACTCAAGTGGCCTATGGTAGTAGGATCCTAAACCCGAGTCTCCGATACGCAACAAATATCGATTGTTAAGGATTTCAACGTACGCGCTAGACAAGTTTGTATCACTTGTATCAGAGTCCTCCTGTTGAAGCCCCATATTCATTTATGACGAGGCGTCAGAATTTGCAATCTATTGAGTGGTAAATTACTCAGTGTTCGGAAAACAACCCTTGGAGAGTGACAAGTTGCCTAATGGACTGTTACAGGTCGGAAGTGGCAAAGGGAGAGGATTGGGCATCGAAAAAAAGAATTAAACAAGGCCTGGGGTGTCTGTGCGGTGCACGCCTATCACCCCAGGCCCAACCCTAATTGAGGCAATGGGCGGCGCGCTCCTGATTATCGTGCGCGACGACCGATGCAGTATGGAATTGTTTTTGTTCGCGTATGCATTAGAGTTTGATGGACGGGTACTGCCAGGGTATCTAGCCACTAAGCAGGAGAACGATTAGGGTTCTCGTTCAAAGACTTTAGTTTTAACAAGAACCTGACCTCATGGCAACGGATAAAGTGAAGTGGAGGCTCAGTTACTTAGTTTGATTACTCCTCAACCATTTTACAAACTGATACACCAACTCGAGTCGAATCCCCGACCCGGAGGGCCGGGAGGCTAGACTTTGTCTGACGTCTGCCCTGTGACCATCCAGGCATGATAACAACAGTTGGTCTGAAAAAAGCCATCCTGTGTAGCCCGTTGGGTCATAGTGGTGCACAAGCCATCATACAGCGTTAACGTGTAGACCCTTCGTGATGGATAGCCATAGTTGTTTGTACAAGTCATTTATAATAAATACAACGCATGGAGCTGGTCGACCATTTCACGAAGCAAGAAGACTAAAAAATGTGTCCGAGTTTCACAGATAGAAAGGAATTCCCTGGTTGATGTTTGATACGTGTTTAACAAAACAGCACTAGACGAGACCAGACGATGGGTACCTTATATCTCGCGTTCCGCGCCAACTCGACCTCCATTTTTTTCAAATCGTGTCGTCGCTCGTGACCCCTCTTTTATCACAGCTTACCACCGGATTTGGTTGAGTGCAACCAGAAGTAGAATACCGGTTCATGATTATACCGTTGCATGAGAAGTACGATAACTCAACAAAGAACGTCAAGTTTAATACAGGGCCTCCTTGAGCTAATCTATTTTACCAATTGCTAAAAGGGGTTATTTGATAACCCCTTGACAAAGCATTAATCTCAAATGTCGTGGAATAAAGCCACAGAAAAAAGCGGAACATAGAGAATTAAATGAAGAACATCCGTGGGATTCTAATCTGCGCATGATCCTCTAGTATATTTTTGCATGACTTGAGCTTTACCAGTTGAGTAAAGAAACTGGCAAAATCGGATTTGATTACTAGTGCAATTTTCAGAGGCATATTTCTACAGTCTTGTGTGATGAGCAGTAGAGGGGTTAAGTGTCAGTGATAAGGGCTCCTATTATATCTAGCAATCTGAGTTCTGGGCCCTGGTGGGTTGAACTACATAAGGCCCCAATAAGAACTGTATGGTACTGAGCCGAAACGACAGCAAATTTACCTAGCACCTCACTAGCCGAGTAACTCGACAGGTTTTTCGTCTCAGTTTGAACAATAATTAATCATGCACTTCCGTGCGCCGGTTTTGGTCGCCCATTTGGATGAACAGTAGGAGAAAGTTGAAACGAATGGAAAATGGAGAATTTCGTTGAACTAATGTTGCAAAGAAATTGAGAAGAGGAGCGAACGCTACTGCTTATGACACCCAGCCATATCACTTTGTGTCTATCCATCGGTTACGATCGTCCCGAGGTCCCCATCCACGGAGCCTAATGGGACCTATATGACCGAGTCTCCTGGTAAGTATTGATTGATTTGACTGGCTATCCTTCGGACTTCACCTTCACGCACAATCCTCAGTTCATCAATTCAACCATACCGTGGGAAGCACTAGACTCGAGTTTCGCTCTTATTAGAGCTCATCAGTAGTGCATATCCACCGTCCTGTCTGGAATTTGAACTCCGGACCCATCGCATGGAAGGCGTGTGTGTTACCACTGCGCCAACCAGCCCATGCCCTGGCTGAACCAAATTGCCAATTCATGTTTGTTCGGGTGTTGTCTTCAATGATAGTCAGTCAGTTCAGCTCCTGGTAAGTGTTTCCATATCCTCGTGCCAGGTCCTAGCTTGACCACCCTTTTTCGTGGAATTAACGGGAGTCCACTGGACGACCATAAGGGCCAAATTGAATAATGAAATACGCCAGAAAATTAAACTTTGATAGAATGTTCACCTGATGCTTGTGTTGTGAACGAACTTGTACCGGGTCGATGCAACTCGTTCTCTTTATCATTCACAACATCACGCTCTGTCGTAGAAACATTACCCATAGAACTCGTAGTTGTGGGTTTGTTGGCCTTTATTTCAGTGGGATTATTACCACTACCAGTGGTAGTAGTAGTAATAGTCTGTTCATCTGTCTTGTCGAAGACTGTGTTCAAATAGTCCGGCAATTGTCCCGCGTCCCGAAGTGCGTTCAGAGCGGATACGATTATCTTCACAGCACCGATAGAAACCGCCAGACGTTGACGACCTGGATCCATAGATCCACCGGTAGTATTTATCGGAGTTGACGGTGGAGTAGACTTCATTGGCGAAGGAAGTGAAGTCTTCTTGTCTGGTTGTATTTCCGGAGTAGCTGAAGGTACTGCCACACTGGGACTCGGTCCGAAAGAAGTGCCCAGGGGAGGTAATAGGAGTTGGCTAGTAGGGCTGCAAATTAAAGCATTGAGGGTATTATTACTACTATTATTCAATGTGACTGTTTCGCTTAAACTACTCAAGTCGCACGTTTACGTTTGCCATCGATCTATAGTAAGTGATGGTACAAGATCGTAGCGCTGTCAATCATAACTCAAACTGACAGTTCATTCAAGCTTTTTAAAGTCATGCATGAGGAGAAAAGTACCAATACTAGACTAGAATGGGAATCTTAATTTCGGAAATATAACTCCCAAGGTTTTTTTAAGTATTTTTATTTACCAGTTTCTCATGAGGAATACTTTTATTCAAGCAAAGATTTACGCCCATAACTACCAATGTGAAGCATGAGAACACGTGATTTCAAAGCAGGAGGTGCCGGAATCCATCTTTGAATATTTTGTGTGAAGATCACTTGGACAGAAAAATGTGTGGGCGAACTTTGTTGATCGGATCCTCCTCCTATAGACAAATCACCTATGAATGTTATAATATAAGTAAGAATATAGGATATATAGAACACAACAATCGTGCAAAATTTTAGCCCTAATACATGGAATCTGTGTTAAAAACTTCAGGTCAAGAGCCTAATTTAATTCATACAGAACAGCCGGCGGTCATGGTCCATAGTATTCAGAATGTATTCGAGGAAATGCACAGAGATCAGACATCTACTGATGCATTAGTCAGTTGCCGGTACGTTCCAGTGTTACTAGTTATATATTTTTTTATAAAGTATCCATCAACCGGTAACACATCCTCCGCTTGAATCTCGCTTTTTATTTGTGAACCAGAAAGTGAGCAAAAGGTAGTCGGTGGAATCAGTGTAAAAATGCGGGTTTAATGATAGTATAAATTGTTGTTAAAACATCTCCTAGGGTTTTTCTATGATCTGAACAGTCAAACAGAAGAATAGAACATAAAAATGACATATGAGGAAAATTCGTGACCTGAAAAGCAGTGTTATATCTACAAGCCAAGATAATAGGATAAGCAAATGATCTTGGTAACGGGAATTCTAAACACATTTTCGGAGGGGATAAACGGATGAGAGAAAAAACTGATTACCTTGGGATCCGGTTGTCATTTGCAAATGATTCCTCTGTATTCGCTTCTTCCGCGTACATATTATCTGTGTACGCTTCGTCTACATACACTTCGTCCGTGTACGCTTCATCTGGATAGTTGTTGCCGTCAAACCACGCTTCATTGTCTTCCTGGTCAGCGAAATGACCATCATCGAAACCGTACGCACTGGATTCCGTGGCACCCGCTTGTGCGACTGCGGGTGCAGCATTCTGCTGGCGCCTGTACTCTTCTTCTTGTTCCCGTTGCATACGTGTCCGTTCCAAGACCCAATCGGCTTCACGCGCAAACTGTTCCTCAATAGACGGTGCTTCCTCTGAGGGTTTCTCTGAAGTCGCCGTAGGAGGTTCCTCTGGGACAGACTCTGCATTTGTATCAAGCACTGAGGCATCCTTTTCGACAGACAGATCTGATTGTTTTACAGTTCCGAGTTGAAGAAAACCTCCCGAGCGTAGGGTTTCACTGAATTACAGAAAGTGCGAAGTCCGCTATGAGCACAATGATATACTAAATTATTCAGATGGCTGCCTTAATTGGACATGCACAAAAACACTACATATTCATCTCAGATTATCAAGGGCAAATGACCAGAATGCGTGCCAAGGTCAAACGATTTAGGTCATTAGCAGATGGCCTTGGAGGTCGCGTTTGATTCTCAAAACCACTAGACACCTTTTTCAATTTGGTAGTAATTAATTGTACATTTTCCTATGCACTTAAAGGAAACAAAAAGATTACGATTATAATGTTATTCCAGTCCACAACACATACCACACAACCATACCTGTAAAATTTGATTTCATCTATTTCATAAAATAAACTTCTGACATAGTGGAAGTGAGTCTTGGTTATCACGGCTGTCCAATAGGGACTAGGTGAGTTGTGTTGAGAAACAATTTAAGATAAGAAGTAGAAAGAAGCTAACGGTGCCAATGGACCACAATAACTGACCGAAATACCTTTTAAAATATGTTGATGCATTAAAAAATATCTGCAGCTTTAACAAACACGCTGTGAGGACGAAAATCAGAGTTGTCTGCTAATCTATCTAATAGATAAGTTAGTCTCAGAGGTCTCACAGCAAGGATTAGAGCACTGTCACACAACATCAACGTACATATAAGCAAGGCAATCCGCATCGGGTTCAAACGCGAGAACCGATTGGGGAAGAAAACTGTTCTCTTCGGAAGTTCCGTTCACTGAGTCCTGATTGTCACCAGCCTGTTCGAATTCACCGGAATCATCCAATTCGTTCGCATCACCATTAGGTAGAACGGATGAGTTACCGCTGTGCATTGCAGTCTGTGCAGCAACATGTGAAGTCGCATCAAACGACGCGTTTTCGTCGGAGGAATCTTCAGTGATTTCGCCTTCTTCGAGCTCTCCATCACTGTCATCCTGTTTATTTGCATTACTTCGCTCTTTACCGGAAACTTTATCATTCGAGTCAGCATCACTTTGGACCGTAGAGGAAGACACAACACCCTGTTCCTTGGGAGGAACTGGGGTGGTTTTGGGTTTCTTCGAGGAAGCCTTTCGTGCTGAAGCGGCCGTGACCTATTAAATAATTTCGGACCTAAAGGACTTTAACCTACCTTTCGACGAGCAATAGGTTTCCTNTTTTGGTTTTTCCGCTTCTTCGAAAGCCAAAGGACGCCAAATGCGTCTTAAGGCGTCGAATGCTAGAGGCAGCAAATACGTATGACCAAAGAAACTTACATATCACTTACCAGAAAGTTGTTTGACTTTGACGCGCTTACGACCTTCAAAATCTTCAATTTTCCTAGCGAACAAGTCGATCCGTTTAAGGCGGATCTCCCGACTGCTCAGATCATTCACCACAATGGCACACATGCCGGGATAATGCAGCTTCTATCAGAAGTAATCGGAATGAAAAAATCTAGTATTGTATATACCATGTAGTTGACCCGGTGAAACACGCTGCAAACGTGTTTGATGGCGGTCTGACGAGTGATTCGCTCGTCGCATAATTCACAGAGGTAGACACATTCCTCTTCATCACCAAACTGGCGTTCGACAACATAACCCAAACCGACGAGCGGTTGTGTGCATGTGTCTAGAAGAGTTTGTAGCCGAGCGGTGGGTTTTGCGTGAGCACCGCGCTTTCCTTTGAGCATTGATGATTCTCCTGATTCGGCAAAAGAATAGGAGATGCAGCACAGAAATAAAATTAGCGTTTGATTCCTAATGAAGTATTTTGATCAATATGTTTGCTGTAGTGGTTTTACGGGACATCGTGGCATGCATCTCGTGAATATTTGCCCAAGTAACCAGGTACTTTACTCAAGGGGAGAAAAAGAAGTGAAATGAACTGTTTGTCATTTTGAACGCTTTATCATGAGTGGCAGTCAGAAAGAATAGCCATACATTCATGACTCACTGACCGCATTTGTCATGAAATGACAAGAGAACCGTCAGCATTTTTCAAGAAGGGACAGTGTTATATCGAAATAATTAAGACTAACTTATTGCTCTTTTGCTCTCATCATTACTCGTCTCTAGTGTCTGCTGATTTAATCAAGATAACGCAAGAAGTACTGCCCCGACAATGGTAAACTGTTTATCTGCTATCCGATATGATATTAAAACCCTCCCAACGTTACTTTTTGTTCCCATTCGGTGGATGTTCATGACAATACATTATGACTACTACTTTCTAATATTACAATTATTATATTTCGCACGTGTCTGAATTCAGACTGCAAGCTAAACAAATCACGGTACAGCAGCTTTTGTACAGAAAAACAAACTATGATTTGCTCAGGGGTGAATGGAAAGGAAACGCCCCTTTCCTCTTCATAAGTTTTTCCTCTTTCCCTGTTTTTCGTTTTTCACTTTTTCGTGCTCAAAAGGCTCACTTCGCACCACCAGTCATGCACACCTCTGACCACTACGTCTCTCCAAGATTTTCAACTTTTGAACTAACATACTAAATCACAGACAACCGATGTATATAAATAGACGAGTTGTCTTTACAAATTATCTTTCGGTCGAGTGAAATACACAACCTAGCATCTATGGTCAACACAGAAAGTACACAATCTAACTATAAGCACACAACCAATATCCTCGCATTGTTGAGTGACGGTTTCGATGTGTCTTTCGGATACCCATGTGGTCGGCCAACGAGGAAGCAGTAAAGAGAAGAGTCTAAAAACTAAGTGCGCTATCGAAAGTAGGCAAAATAAATCTCCCTAGAAAGTGCATACGTGACCACTATGGTCAAGGACACTAAGTCCTATATTACCCATTGTCTCTCAACATCGATGGTGTTGATCA